TTATTTGAAAAATATTTTATCGAAATTTTTCTTATTTAAAAATAAATAAAAGATTTTGTTTTCAATTTAATCCCGTTGGGGACTGGATGTATATCTTAGTGGTTTGATTTTGACTTAATCAGTATCTATTTGACCTAAATCTTACATAATAGTTTAACGATAGAAATGATAGTATAGACTAGATTTATCTATGTCAACATATCGTTATGTAACTATTTCTATTGTGTCCTCATTCACCTTCTTTCGTTCTACAGATAAATTCTTTTATTTTATATAAACAAACCATTCATGACAGTATTCAATTCTAGTTGATTCGTCTAATCACTGAATTATATGGTAAACTAAAAGTAACACGTGCTCGATCTAGTTCGAAAGAAAATTCTATTGTTAATTTAAAAAATGAGTGAATTTTATTAAATCAAAGTTGATAATATTAAAATATTAAAATGATTAAAGAATTTATTGCTGAAATATGAAAATATTCTTAATTCTATGAAACTAAAAAAACTAATTAATATCCATGAGGATTTCCCCCTTTTCTAATGTCACAATTAGCCCAATATTGTTTTTCTTGTTGACGCCATTCAATAGCTTGAACAATTGAACCTCCATAAGGTATACATTTCATTTTATGTCCACGACGTTTAAGTTCATTTAAAATATTCTATTAAAAAAAAGCAAAATAATATTTATTAAAATGAATAAAAAAATGAATTAACTTGATCAAAATTTCGTTCAAAACTAATTTGATTTGGAGATAAATGATGATGAATTCTTGAATGATCAATTGATTCTTTGATATTTTTATTAAATAATAAATTAAGTAAAGTAACATGAGCAATACTAGTTAAAATTTTCGATCCTCCACTAGCTCCAATAACTAATCGAATTTGTTTATTATTATCAATAATAATTAATGGAGATTGTGATGATATTGGTCTTTTTCCAGGTGAAATAAAATTATTTTTTGAAAATTTTAATCCATGATAATTTTCTTTTGTTGAAATTGAAAAATCATTCATTTCATTATTATAAATAATTCCTGTCTCTTCACCAACAATCATTGAACCAAAACTAATTGAAAGAAAAATAAAATAAAATCTATTTTTAAATAAGAATAATTAACTATGTATTTATTGTTGATGTTATAGCAACAGCATCTCCATATTGATCAACAATTGATATATGAGCTGTTCCATCATTTGTTTTTATTTCATTCTGATTATCTTTATAATATTCTTCATCAAAAGTTTTTAAATCACTAAAATCAAATTTAAATTAAAAAAAAGTCAAATAAATTTATCAAACTTGATTTTTTGTCTAATTAGATTTGCATATTGTTGTGATGTTAAATTTGAAATAAACTAAAGAAAATAAATGTAGAAAATATTTTGAATGAAATCTCAAAGACAAACATTTTTCAGATGAATTTGTTGTGGATCACCTAAATTCGATTGTTTAGCAAAAGCAAATTTAAATGATTCAATTAATCGATGATAAAAAAGTGATGCGGTTTCATTATGATTGAGATCATTCGATTCAAATTTATATCCTTTAATTAAAAATAAATTAGTTTTTTCTTTTAGAAAAGAAATAATAAAAACCAAGAATAATTTGAAGAATCAATGCAAGAATAGGACCACTTGATGGAGATGAACTTGTAAAAGCTTTTAATGAATTATTTAAATTGATTGATAATGCTTCTCGAATATCTAAATCATATTGACGGAGATCATCTAATGTTAATATTCCACCTAAACATTTCATTTTCATTTTTATTTTAAAAACAAATTAGAAAACTATCGAACCTCTTTTTTGTATTTCTGATATAATTTTATGTGAAAGATTTCCTGAATAAAATGTTTTAATACCATATTGAGATATTTGACGTAAAGTTTTGCCTAATTTTATTCTTTTCATTAAATCTCCTTCACCATAAAGTTCATTTGTTAAATTATTTTTAAGAAATATTTCTCTAAAAATTAATTTTATTAAAATAAATCAAAAGAAAAAAAGAAGAAGTTCTTACCTAAGTTGTGTATCATTAATAATATGTTTTTTATTTTGATTAATTGCAAAAGCAAGAGTACGACTAACATTAAAACCTTTTTCACATAAACGAATTGTTGGTTGAAAAAGTGTTGACCATGAAACTCCTCCACCAAATAATTCATATGCTTTTCTATATGCTAATAATTCTCCAGGTGTTCCAATTGATAATGCACCTTGAATAAAACAGAAAAAAAAAGATTTATTTTAATAAATCTATAAATATTTTTAAATAATCTTCATACCAATAAGTGACATATTTTCTCTTCCTTGAAACATTGTTTTATTTGAATTTAATGGAGCTTTTTCACGTTCAACAATACTAAATGCTTTTCCATGTTTTCTTTAAAGAAAAAAAGAAATAAAAATGCTAATAAGAAATCAAATATTAACCTTGAATAAATAATCAAAACACATCCTCCACCAATTCCCATTGAATGTGCATTTAAAATTCCATTACAAAGAGAAGATGCAATAGCTGCATCAACTGCTTTTCCACCTTTTAATAAAATTGATTTGCCGATTTTAGAACATTCTTCATTATCAACAGCTACTGCTGCGCGATCATATTTTCCTAATTCGGATGATCCAGTAACTGAATACGATTCATGATCTAATTCACATTTATCATCTGGTAACAAATTTTCTATAAAAACAATAAACGTTTTTTCTTTTTAAAAAAACCATTTTAAATCAAATAACTTTTATCTTTTTTTAAGCCAAAAAACAATCCAGCAATAATACTTGATACAAGAAAAAGTATTAAAATTAATAAAATTATAATAGATAATCGATGCCTTAAAAGAGAAAAAAAAATATTTGTTAAATCTATTAAATGATAATCTTACATTTGATTAATTAATTAATTAATAATATCAAAAGAATTTCTTCTTGACAATAATAAGATAAGATATTGGAATAGATCCATATCGATATTGTTTATCCTCTCATTTAGAGAATTATCTCATTGGATTATTATTAATCAATATAATTTATCTTACAGCAATATTATATTACATATATATGTATATCCATTCAATAGGATATTCTTTTGAAAAAGAAAATTGATGATAAATAGATATTTCTTAAGAAAATTATTTCTTTTATATTGTTTCATTGCATAAAAATAATTTAAACTTCAATTATTATTTCTAATAAACAAATAATTTAATTGATTTGATTTTTACTTATGTAATACAAACGTTAGTGAAGGATGTATGTGGTTCGAATCGTAAGTTTATAAGAAAAAAAATAGAAATAGATTTTATTATTTAAATTCTTTTTTTTAAAGACGTAATTCTCTTTATGATGCAACAAATCATCCATACGATTTAACACGTATTGTTGGAGGGTAGTTCAGGTGGTGCTGGTTGTATTGTTTTAGCAGCTGGTGTTCCATTTGTTGTTGCTTCAGATATTGGTGGAAGTATTCGATTACCTTCATTTATGAATAGAACATTTTGTCATATATGTTGCTGCTGTTTGTTGTTGTTTTATATAATCAGCTGTTAAGATTTTCCTAAATTTAATATGACCATCCTGTGAGCCTGTTATTAAAAAATCTGTTACTGTTACAATTATATGTGTGACAACATCCCGATACATATATGATCTTTCATAATAATTACTTGATGGTAAATATGATGCATATAAACTATCTAATTGTGTTGATCCTTGCAATTTGTCTTTTTTATTTAATTCAATATTTGAATTTGACGAAATTTTATTTATTTTATCATAGAAGAGAAAATGAATTAAACCACTTGTCTGATCCCTAAAGGTTTATCATTTGATTTAGTTTTAAAATAAAAATGATTTGTTACGAAAAGAAAAGTTTTTATTGAAAAAATGAAGAGAAAAAACAAGGAAAGATTGTCTTGTTTTAATAAAACTCTTTTTTAGAGATGAAAATAAAAGAAACTTCTAAAAAAGGCAAAGATCTTCGAAATGAATCAAACAGAAAGAAAAATATCTTTTTAAATTATGAAATTGATATTAAAATTAATCAACAATTTCATTATTATTTTTTTCAAGTAAATATGTCAAAGAAAGACAATATTTTCTCTTATTTATGATTTTCATTAATAACGTACATTCTATTTATAATAATCTGTACATGAATGATCGACAACAGAATGTTGATTTTAAGTAGATCTTTCTATGAAATAATTATTTCAGATTTTTTTTCATTGATAGATGAAATAATTTTACTTAAAACTTTATCAGTTAGTAGAAATATCAGATAGAAAAACTGAAAAGTTGTCAGAGAAAATGTTCTTAATTATACTAAAATAAATTTTTTTTTCAAATATTTTGTATGCTCTGACTTCTTAATCAACTCGACTTATTATTATAGACTTTCCCTCTCTTTTATCACAAACAGCAAATACTAAAAATCATAAAAAACTTCATATTATATGTACTCATGTAGATAAATGATTAAAAAAAAGAAAATAGATTCATCTTATATATATGTAAAAATTGTGATGTATATAGTATATACATATGAATTAAAATGAATTTTCATAGCAAAAGTTTATTCTTTTTTTTAGAAAAAACAAACTTCATCATGAAAGAATAAATTCGTAAAAGAAAAAAAATATTTTTGTTTGTCAACGAAATATATATATATGTATCTATATATATTTATATATTTATTTGATTAAAATGTGTTGAGGAGATAATTAATTAATCACTTCGAATGATTGCGGTCAATTTTATAAGAGATGGGAAATAAAGAAAAAGGTAATAATGAATCTGACACACACACGACTACAGACAAGGGAGAAAGAAAAACAAATATACACTGTTAAACAGGTTCTCGACAATCATCTGACACACACTGTTTTTTCAATTTCTTAGTGAGCACCAACGACTAGGACATTATTACAAATGACATTAACACGAGTAGAAGAAGAGAAAAAAAAATGTTTCTATCTGAATAAAAAAAACTAATTTGTATCTTTAAATATAAATAAATCGAATGATTCTTCTTCTTCGTCTTCTTTTTCTTCTTGTTCGATTTCTTCTTGTTCAACTAATATACAAGATAATGATGAATCTGATGATGAACATGATGAACTTTTTGTAGTTTTACCATTTTTTTCACTTGTTGATTTTAATGAGCAAGGAACAACACAAAATAATAATACAAGAATATCATCACGTTTTATACGAGCTAAAATTATTTTATTTTATTTTAAGAGATTTTTTTAAATCCAAAATTTTATTTACCATGACATGCTGATTGAACAAGCATTTGACAAATATTTTGCAATGATTCCACTGAGATTTGTTCATCCTTTTTTTTATTTAAATTTTTCATTTGAATTTAATTATTTCAAATAAAACTTACTAAATGATTATTTATGATTTGAACAATAAAATCTTCATAAAGATTATCAAAAAGTCCATCTGATGCAATTAATAATAAATCACCTATTTCTAAATTTTGTTCAATATATTCTCCATCACTTGGTCTATACAAAAATAAATAAATAAAAAAAATCAAAGAAGAACATAAAACATACTTATCATGATAAAGTCTTGTTGTATTTGATGAAAATACTTGTGTTGTTGGAATAGATGATAATTGAAAAGGTGATGAACCACGATGATATTGTGGATGTGAACGAACAATTAATTTATTTTGTCTAATTAACATAAAACCACTATCACCAATATTAAGTGAACGAAGATATGAACAACGTTTATCAATTGATAATAAACAAAGTGTAGCACTACCAAATATAGAACGTTTTTCAACACAACGTATAGCACGATGAACAAGACCACGCATTGATGATGAACCTTGAATTTGATCAGTTTCTTGTGCACATGAACTAATTAATGTATGAGCAAATTTATATGGATCAAGACCATGATGACGATTTCCACTTACTCCATCAGATAAACCTTTATTTAAATAATATGAAAATAATATAAAAATAAAATCAAATAAAATATTTTACCAATTATTATTTGATCATTTGATTGTTTAACAAAAGCAACATCATCACCATATGGTCCAGATAGAAGAATTAATTCTTCTTCTAAAATCGATTGATCACAATTATTGATATTTATTCCTTGTTTTGATATACCATTCCAAGAACATTTTAATCCAATTGATACAGATGATGAACTTTCTAACATTGGATATTTAATAATTTGATAAAGAAAACATTATGTACTCTCAACATCTTTTTATTTACTTACAAAATCTATTTATTATTATTATATCCAATCAAATTGATTTCATCTTTTTTCTTTTCTAGATGTCGCTCAATTTCAATAGAATACTAAAAAAAAGAACTTTTTCGATACTATATAATATAACAAATAGAGATTAATCGACAATAGACTCATTATAGTCGAATGTTGACTATCATTTGATCATCTTTAGTCTATTGTTAAATAATAACATTTATAGAAAATAAATGGACTGGTCGTTTTATTCTCTATGGGATATTCTTCCGTTACCAATTATTATTGGAATGTTTATATGGACTTTTTCAATGTGTTTTTTTTCTCTATTTTTACTTTTCATTCTTATTTTATTACAAAAACGGTTTGTTTCATTTTTCTTTTAAATTAAAATGAAAAAA